CTAAAAGATAATCTATTTTATTATTATTCTTTGATTTTGGAGTAGAAACACCCTTATTATTATTCTTTGATTTTGGAGTAGAAATCATGTTTACAATGTTATTTTAATTCTTATTGTCATATTTAGGATTTAAATTTTGATTTCTAGTATCATGTGTAGGATGCTTGTTTTAATTTCTAGTATTATGTTTAGGATAACGCTTTAACTTTGTTATTAGTAACATTCTAGGATTTGTTATTAATCCGTTTAGTATCATGCCTAAGATCTTATTACTAACAATATTTTGATGATGTTCTTATGATGATGATTGTTATATTAATCATATGTTGCTTGATTATTCATGATTTATTGTTGTTGCTTGATGTAGACATCTACTTTTGGTCCCCAGTCCCGACCAGAAGTGCTACGACAATCAATAATTCCATCTTTGTGTTGGATTGAAGTGAAGAATGCTTATGAACTATTGATTAAAGCCTAAAACACATAAATCAACTAGCTTGATCCAAAACGAAATGAACCAAAGCTTGTTAACACTAAGCCCAATCAGCAATTAGTCCTAATCCTGAGATTAAACCTAATTTTGATGGATTTAGAAGCGCCTAGGTTAAATCCAGGACTGCCGCAGGAAAAACTGCGCGCAACTCAAGGAGTCCCGCTGGCTTAGCGCGCGCAACTCACAGGTAGGGGTGTTCATATCCGGGTACCCGAAAATCCGGGTAGTTGATAAGTTGGCCCGTGTCCCGTCCCAGATATTTTTTACAATTCAAGAACTACTTTTTTTTTTTTTTTTTTTTTTTTTTTTTTTTTTTGTGAAAGCTGAATTTGTATGTATAAGAAAGTAAGAGTTTAAGATAGCACGGTTTCTAGTCAATTTGAGGCCATTTGTTTTTTATTTTATTTTTTAATTTTATTTAATAATTTATTATTTTTATTTTACTTTTTTGCATTTTTCTTTCCTCGTGTCAAAGTGCCGTGTGAATGGTTGTTATCTGAGATCTAGTGAATACTACTACTATTAAGAAGGGGGCATTTTTGTTTATCAAGTTTATCTATAAATTCAGTACTACATTAATTCTTTTAATCGATCTGAGAAGTGAGAAGTCTGGCATTGGAAGTGTTAAATTCTTCTTCTTCTTTTTTTTTTATTTTTTTTATTTTTACTTTTTTAACGGGTATCCGGGTACCCGATAATTGCAAAGCTTGTCTCATATCCCGGCCCACGAAAGTGCTATTTTACCGGGACGGGTACCCGACTCGAAAAAAACAGAAAATTTTGAAAATTTCCCGTTGGGTTTTTTGCGGGTCATCAGGAATTCAGGACGGGACAACCGAGTCGGGTTTTTTTGAACACCCCTACTCAGAAGGTTGCGCGTGACACCCAGTGCAACCTCTAGTGATGCGCTTGCGAATGATTCAGAATTTCATAAAAATACTGAATCGAATCTTACCATAAAGCCACGCGCAAGATGATAGGTTGCGCTGCCTTGTTCAGCGCGGCTTAGTCACTTACGCATAGCGGCCGCAACAACCTATTCAGTTGCGCGGGCCACATACTGTGGCAGAATGTTCAAAACTCTAAAGTCACCTATTTCTTATAAATAGGGGTTCAATACGAGCTTTGAAACACACATAAATTAACCTAAAAAGTCAGCAGAAACTTGTGAACTTATGCACTAATCATCCCCTTGTCCCAAACACTAACCCCTTTAATTTTTTTTTCTTACGGTGGAGGTTCCCGAACAAGAAGGAGTCCATAAGTGTTCTAAACAAAGATCTAGCAGGGAAAAGTGGTAGATTCCCAAGCACTTAAATAAATCACCTTTCTTTTCTTGCTTAGACAACTTTTAATCAACTAATTAGTGTTGGTTGATCACCTAAAATAAACTTTAATTAATTAATTTCACACAGTATTTTGCGTTAATTAAAGACTAGAATTGGAATAATTAATTGTTGTTTTATCGCTTAAGTCAAGGCAAATCTTGTTTATTTTGTTCCTTTCACGAATTTGAATTAAATAAGAATAACGACATTCGTTGCAATGTAATCTTTATGTGTTTGACGTGTGTAAATAAAATCAACTAACTTAGTTTTAGGTATCATGTTGCATATATTGTTTGGTAATGAAATTGTGAAAAATGATGAGCTAGTAAAGGCCGCACTTGAGCTAGAATATCGATTCCTCCCTAAAAAGAACGTTATTTTAGTACCCTCGCTCCCGAAATCATTTCTGGTACAAGTAGACCAATTTGGGCATGGGTAAACTTATGATTCATGCTAAATATCCCTTGAGCCCTACTTGGGAGAAAGGCATGAACGAGGTTTATGAGTTTTTCTAAAACTCGTTGGCGACTCCTTATTGGTTTCTTACAAAAAAGCGTAATGATAGGATCAACGCTAATTCAAGGTCCCCAAACAGTCAGAAATTCAAATTTTAACACACCCTAAAAAGTAAAGTCCTAGGCTTTTAAAGGGCCATGGGCATAGAGGAGAAGGATCTCCTACGATGGGCACACCCTCCTCACACTTGATCATGCCCCTTTTTGCAGGTTTAAAGGGAATTTATATTTGAAATCATGCCTAATAAGATAATTAATAATTTGCTTTAGGCTAATATGAGTTTAATTCAAGTGATCACCAATATAGATTTGATTGTGCATTAATAATCAACCAATGTAGATTAAACAGGTTTAAGATTAATTTGATGTATGTATGTTGATCGAAAAGCGCACATGAATATCATAAGAATTGAGTAGAGGCCTATTTACTAGTAGAGAAATGCTCATTTGCGTCGCCTCATTTGCGTTGCTTGTAGAAACAAACGAAGCAAATGATATAATTTAAGTTCAGTTTAAGTTATTTGCGTCGCTTATTTATTAAAAGTGCGACGCAGAACACTGATATAGGTTATTTGCGTCACTTATTACTAAAAGAGCGACGCAAATAATAATGTCATTTGCGTCTCTCTTTTAGGAACAAGTGACGCAAATGATTTTGTGAATAATTTGCTAACCTATAGTGTAATTCCAAAACTGAAAACAAAATAAAAAACCTTTCTAACTTTTCTTTGTTTTCCCAAAACTTTTCTAAGTACCTCCTTCCTTCGTTCCCAGCAGCAGCATAAGACACGAATTCGAGCAAAAGTTCGAAGGTAATTAAGCTACCTCCTTCATTCGTTCCCAGCAGCAGCATAAGAAGAATTTTCGAGCAACAAATTCGAGCAAATTTTCGAGCATAAACGCACAGGTAAGTGGCCCTAAACTTGTGCAGCGGACGTGAATTTAGGTTTTTTTTATTGTTATTTTCCATTTTTTGATTGAATTCGAGCAAATTTTTCGTTTTTAATTGATTGTTATTTTTGTTTTGTTCAATCTTTGCTTCAGAATTTAGGTTTATTTGGGGCCAAATCTAGTTAATTAGCCTGGAACTGGGGAGAATTGAATTGGGTATTGTTTTGTCTTTGTTGAACAATGTTTTCCTGTCAGAGAATATGGAGTGGGCAAATAGTGTTGGACAAAGGGAGGGTCAGTGTAGCACAATCAAGAAAAGTGAATGAAGCCTTTTAGATATAGACTGGACCTATTGACGAGCCTTGTAAAAAGCTTGCATTTTTATTGCATGTTATTTAATCCTTTCCCTCTCTTTATCTGTTGTGTGCATGCCATCTCCTATGTCTTAACATATTGGACCACCTTCTTTCCCTTGTAGTTCAGCAATGATGAAATTAAATCCATCCATTTAAAGATTTGTAGCCCTAAATTGAATTTGGTTACTCATTATGCACTTATGCAGTTACTGGATTATTATCCCTCAAAGCAATTTGGGAGAATGTGCCACCATCTTGGAATGGTTTTCGTGATCCTTGTGGTGATCGCTGGGAAGGAATTGCCTGCAATAATACCCAAGTGATTTCGATGTAAGTCAGATCTGCATCACATTTAGAGACAGCCACAACCATCCTTAATACATTTCTTGATTTTATTTTGAAAGTTTTTTCTCAGAACTTTATCAAGCATTGGGCTGAAGGGCGTACTGTCAGGTGATATCCGGCAACTATCTGAGCTACAAACTCTGTATGTTTTCTGAATTGGGAATTGTTTTTGAATTTTAAGTGAATTAGGAAGTTGCTGGTTTAGAATTGAATTGGGTATTGTTTGCATCATTGGCTTAGATACCCGTTCAGGGCTTACTCACTAGGAGTAAGTTCTGAATAGTCCCCGGTTTGGGACTGTTCTTGAATGTTCTATCTCATTTAGGTTGTAACTAATTGAAGTGTTTTTGGATCTAAGAAAATCATCCCATGTTATTTTTCGATTGTTCTGTGGGTACATATGTCGATACTCGATTATCTACATTGTGTGCTTGGAGAACTATAGGGAAATGTTGCCGAATTTTCTTTAGAACCAAAGCTTTACCAAGTAGTTACTAATGAGATAGGACATTCAAGAATGGGTTAGGTTGGAGTGATAAGGACCTGATTGGATCATGTCATTGCATTTACATGAGATAAAATTTGAATGAAAATGTTCTATGCCTTATAATCTTATTCATTGTTAAGGAATTATGTATGCTATAAAATATAGCCATTATCTTAAAATTAATTTTCATTATACAGCGGGTGAAAATGGATCGAAGTTGGATGTATGCTAAACGAAATTCTACAAAATTTTTAAGTGGAATTGAGGAGTTTAGTAGTGTTGCCTTAAAATACCAAACAGAGAATAAATCAAAGATTATTCTTTGTCCTTGTTGTGATTGCAATAATTCAAGGGGGTATCGTGATATAGATGATATTAAGGATCATCTAATCCGTCGTGGGTTCAAAGAAAACTACACATGGACATGGCATGGTGAGAACATAGGTCATGAGGCAAATTCTAGTTATTTTGCAAGGGAAGATGAGAGTAGTTGTGATGGCGATAATGAAGACCAGCGTGAGGATATGGATACTGCTGATATTGTTGTTGAAACTGAGGATGAAGTGGAGAAGGATAGGAACTGAGATGATGCATGATGTAGAAGACCATTTCATAGATGATACCCATATATATGACCATATCTTAAGAGTTGTAGAGACACCGTTATATCCTAGTTGTACAAAATTCACAAAACTTAGTGGCATTATGAAGCTATTCAACATAAAGGCGAGAAATTCTTTGACCGACAAGAGTTTTACTCAGATTTTGGAAGCCTTAGTAGAAATGTTACTAGAAGGGAATGAACTTCCAAACTCCACATATGAGGCTAAGAAACTTATGTGCCCTCTTGGTATGGAGTACGTGAAGATACATGCATGTCCTAATGATTTTGTGTTGTATCGAAATGAGCATGTTGATTTGCATGAGTGTCCAAGGTGTGGAGTTTCTCGTTATAAGATGAATGATAATGATGAGTTGTGTAAGAAACGAACTCCGGCTAAGGCATTGTGGTATCTTCCAATTATACCGAGATTTAGGAGACTTTTCTCAGATGAAAAAAATGCAAAATTATTGAGATGGCATGCTGATGGGAGGAAGAAAGATGGGTTAATGAGACATCCAGCTGATTCTCCACAATGGAGGAACATTGATCGAAAGTTCAAGGTCTTTGGTCAAGAAGATCGAAATCTGAGGCTTGGGCTTTGTACAGATGGAATGAACCCATTTGGGACACTTAGTACCCAATATAGCACTTGGCCGGTTCTTCTAACTATCTACAATTTGCCTCCTTGGTTATGCATGAAGTCTAGATACATTATGTTGTCCCTTTTAATATCTGGGCCTAAACAACCTGGGAATGACATTGATGTGTATCTAGCGCCTCTCATTGAAGATTTGAAATTGTTGTGGAATGAAGGTGTCTCGATGTATGATGCATATAGTAAAACCAATTTCACTTTACGTGCCATGATTTTTTGTACAATAAATGATTTCCCAGCTTATGGGAATTTGTTAGGGTACACCGTGAAGGGAACAAAACCTTGCCCCATTTGTGAAGATGATTTGGAGGCATTGCGCCTAGACAATTGTGGCAAGCACGTATACATTGATAATCGTAGACATCTTCCTGAAGACCACCCTTTTCGGAAGAATAAAAAGGGTTTCAATGGAAAAGTGGAGATGAGAGAAGTTCGGGGCCCTTTACGTGCAAGTGAGGTTTATATGCGAGTGAAAGACATTGAAAATGAGTTTGGTAAGCCTTACAAAAGTAAATCAAAAGGGGGCTATAAGAAGAAGTCTGAGTTATGGTCTCTCCCATACTGGAGACATTTGGAAGTTAGACATTGTCTAGTTGTAATGCATATTGAGAAAAATGTTTGTGATGCCATTGTGGGAACATTATTGAATATGCCAGGAAAGACGAAGGATGGAGTTAAGGTTAGAATAGACATAGCTGCTATGGGTCGTTCAGAGTTGGCACCCGAATCTCGAGGAATACGATGGTATCTTCCCCCAGCTTGTTTTACCTTGTCTAAAAAGGAAAAAACAAGCTTCTGTGAGTCATTGCATGGTTTAAAGGTCCCGGCGGGATATTATTCAAATTTTCGTAGACTTGAGTCGATGTCTGACTTGAAATTGGTTGGCATGAAATCTCATGATTGTCACATCTTGATGCAACACTTATTACCAGTTGCAATTACAGGAATTTTGTCAGATCAAGTGAGGTATACGATTACAAGATTGTGTGTCTTTTTTAACACTATTTGTAGCAAGGTCATAAATCCATGTATATTAGATGACTTGCAAGCAGTTATAATTGAGACAATGTGTCGATTTGAAATGTATTTCCCCCCATCTTTCTTTGACGTGATGCCCTATTTGGTTATTCATCTTGTACAGGAAATTAAACTTTATGGACCCGTTTGTATGAGGTACGTGTATCCTTTTGAGCGACTAATGGGTGATTTAAAGAGAAAAGTCATGAATCCGGCCAAACCTGAAGCCAGTATTGTCCAACGAACAACAGTTGAGGAAGTGACAGCATGGTTTGCTCAGTTTCTTGCAAGTGCACAAAAAATTGGGTTGCCACAGTCTCGACATGATGGGAGGCTCGGAGGTGAAGGTACTGTTGGTAGAAAAAGGTTTTCAATGGGCTGTGATATGAAAAATAAGGCTGAGCTGTTTGTTTTGCAAAGTCTTAGTGAAGTTCATCCTTACTTGAATGAGCACATGATTTTTCTTAAAAATGAATACCCTTCCAAAACTGATCTTCAGCTGATAAAGGAGCATAATTGTTCATTCCTTACATGGTTCAAGGATCGAGTGATGTCTCAATTGTCCACCACACCTAATGATGTATCTGACACATTGATATGGTTAGCATATGGTTCTAAATGTCAAGTCATTTCGTATGAGGGATACGACATCAATGGATATTCTTTTTACACTAGTCGACAAGATGACAAAACAACAATGCAAAATAGTGGTGTTAAAGTAATAGGTTTGTCATCTGAATTTGTTAGTAAACATGATAAAACACTAGTGGATAGGAAGAAATTTTATTATGGAGTAATTGAAGAAATAATAGAGTTAGACTATGTTGATTTCAAGATGCCTCTATTCCGATGTAAGTGGGCTGATATTAGTCGTGGTGTAAAAAAAGATGAACAAGGAAACTTGAACCTTGTAAATTTTGGTTGACCAGGGCATCTAGATGATCCATTTATATTAGCATCACAAGCAAAACAAGTGTTTTACATGGCTGACCCAGCTGATCGTAAATGGTCAGTTGTTTTAGAAGGAAAAAGAAGGATACATGGCATTGAAGATGTGGTTGATGAGGAAGAATATGATGAGCAATTTAATGAGTCACCACCTTCTGTCTGGAGCATCCCTCCAACAGTTGATGATTTTGACATAACTTTAAAACGTGTAGATCATGATGAAGGATATTATGTTGCAAAAGAGAAGAATTAAGTAAGTATGAAATCTGGAATTTTGTGTTATTGTTTTTTCTTACAATGTGTTACTAATTTATTTGTTACAATATGTTACTAAATTAAGAATGAAGTATGAAATCTGGAATTTTTTTAACATGTACATGTTTATAATTTCTTTTTTAATGTTTACAACATTGCAGATAAATAATAATGGATGATGAGGATATGCAAAATGCTGAAAATGAGCCACACAATCAATCACCATCACAGCTTGACTCTCAGAAGAAGAAGAAAAAGAAGCCAAGAGGTCCTTCAAAGGGCCTTAAATCGAAGAGTGGGGTTCCTAGAGTGCTTGAATGGGATGAATTCTATCGGCCAATTGGAAAGTGGATAACAGAATACAAAACTCATTTTGGTGAAATAAGTCGTGCAAAGGTGTCTATATTGATTAAAGATTGGAAAGAAGTTCCACAAGGAATAAAAGACACTTTGTGGGAAGATGCTAAGGTATTATTATTTCTTATTTCTTATTTAATGTATAAGAAGTTCCACAAGGAATAAAAGACACTTTATGGGAAGATTTTGTTTGATATCGATAATGTTTTACCAATTAATAATGCAATGTTTTATTATTTAGAGAGAGTTTCATATCGAAGAAGATGAAAAAAAGAAGAAGGTCCTACACACTTGTGGTCAGCGATAGAAAGATTTTAAAGCAAAATTGGTTAGCGGTTGGATCACTTGTACTAGGAAAATGCCGGATGACAAAAGAAGCATAGCACGGATGAATTTCATAACTCCATATGTGTGGAATAGTTTTGTAAAGGAGCATAGCACGGATGAATTTAAGGTGTGTAAATGTATATATATACATCACTATAAGTCATAAAGATGCATGTTAACAATGTTCCTTTTTTATTCTAAAATAGGAAATAAGTGAGAAGGCAAGAAAGAGCCAGTCTTTCAACCAATACCCGCATCATTTAGGAGCCAAGTCATATGGTGAAATGGATATTGTATGGAAAAGAAAAGGGTATATTCCTTCATCATCTACTATTTCATCTTGCTCTTCGGTTGTGTCTAGTTTGCCGGATAGGACATATGCTTGGCTTTTAGCAAGATCAATAGAAGATGATAAGGGAAATCATTATTTGCCTGATCAGAAAACAAAAGAGGTGAAAGAATCCATTGTAAGTGTATATAAAAGTCTTTATTTCAATGTTAAATCTATTTTCTTAAGTACATATATTGCAACAAAATCATACTAACTTTATGCTTTTGTATAGGATGATTGGAAAAAGCAACAAGCTGAAGGGAAATTTGTTCCTAATAGGAATGATGATGTCTTGGCCCGTGCCCTTGGAAGAAAAGATCGTTATGGTCGGGCAATAGCATTTGGCAGTGGAGTTGGCATTAAAGTTGTATGGGGATCAGGAGAGCGGCGTAGTGGCCGACGTGGTATGCAAATTGGAGATGTTGAGTTGGAGGAATTAGAGGCAAGAGTAACCCAAAGGGTGCGAGATGAGACTGTACAGGAGATGCAGTCCAAAGTGGATTTCATGGTTCAAGAGAAGTTTATGTTTTTGGCTAAAGAGATGGGTATTCAAATTACAACTAAATTAATAGAATTGAATAGCATAGGCCAGGCTACTCCACAAAATCGTAGTAGTTGTCACTCAGGTGGTGGTGATGCTCCACTTGCAAACATACATGATCCATTTGCAAACATACAGGTATCTTAAAATCTTTATTTGATTTTTGTTATGGCATAATTCCACTATAATGTTCACTACTTCGTAACATGTATTTGATATAATTTTGTGGGTTATATACAAGGAACCGGTTGCATGTAAGCTATCGTTGATGAGTGACTCTGAGAAAGTCATTGTTGCTGAAGGTACATTTTATCCAGAGTTAATCCTTGATCATCATAGTAGCCTCCTACCTGATCATGTGAGGATAAGTGTTGATGATTATTATGATAAGTTCAAAGAAGTTCGGGTCCCAGTTCCTTCTGCATTCATAAAGAAACTCAAGAATGCTAATGGTACTTTTACACAATGGCCGAAACACTTGGTTTTCCTTCTGCATGATAAGGTAAATTATATTTATAACAATTATTACATAATTTTGAAGTTGAAAAATATAGTCAAATTTTTTAATGTATCTGCTTAACTGTTAATTAGGAAATCATCCCAAACAAGAGTGATGGCAATAGAGAAATGACCAAAGAAAATGTGCAAGTCAAAAGAAAAGAGGTTGATAGTGGTCACGAAACAAAAGAATCCAACACCAATCCAAAAAACACCTTTCTTGTGGATTTTGTGTTGGAAAACTTGACTCAAAAGTGTAGGTGTTTGAATGATTTCTTATATTCATTTCCCGAAGGTGAAAATGTGATGAAGATGATCGGTGATACAAGAACCTTTAGTTATGAAATTGAAAGGGACATCATTATCAAACGGGAAGATGTCGATCAACTTCTCACGGGAGCGTGGCTTAATATTTCAATTTTGCAAGTTTTTATGATGTAAGATATTCAAATTTCAACCCTCCTAAAAACTTTAGTTTATTACCATTTCTAATATTATTACATGATATATATGTAGGGCTTTGAGTGATTATTCTCTCGATACGGCCGATGTGTTTCCCACTGGATTCATGTGTCCAGAGATGATTTCAGAGACCTATTTGCATAGTGATGCTGATCGCGTCCTACTATACGTGAGAAATGCAATGGAAAAACAAAAAAATAAGCACTTCATCTTATGCCCATACTATGAAAAGTATAAGATTAGAACTTTTTTTCTATTTAAACATTGCAAAAAAAAAAAAATGTTGGTAATACTTAATTATTTACAAATTTCTGTCTAATTTATGTAGGAATCATTGGGTTCTTCTGGTATTATGCATGACTAAGCGTGAGGTCTACATCTTTGATTCTATGAGGCAAAAGCGAAATTTGGCAATTAAGTTTCCAATGACAAAGTAAGTTTGTTTGTTTATAGAGTCATGTGAATTTATTTAAGGTTAATAAATGCTTTTATATAATTTGCACAAATATGTTATTTATTTCAAATGTGTAGTGCTTTTCGAAATTACAAGACACTAGGTGGACAATCTAAGGGAAGTAAACTGACATGGCATTTGAGACAGTTTTAACTTAATTCCTTACCCAAAATATACTTTCTTAATAATGTTATGTATAGCAATTAAATTGAACTAATTGTTATAATGTATGTAGTGTCCTCAACAATTAGGTGGACGTGAATGTGGCTATTACGTCATGCGTTATATGTTCGAAATAATGCAATATCATCATAATAGTGAGGACCTTATTACGGTATGAGCTGTCAAATATTTCATTTTTACTTAATAAATACAATCTGAAGTACTTACACTTGGATTAAACTTTTGCACTGATCTTTTGTTTGTGTTGTGCTAATAAGATTTTTCAAGATCTACACCGTACACAAATGAGGAGATAAACGAGGTTTGAGATATTTGGGCAGACTATTTTGTATGCAATGTTGAACTTTAGATCTACACTTACAAAACTCCATTTACTTGTTAGACTCTTGTTCTATTTGTTAGGATTGACATGAATGTATGTATTTTGTTTACCAACAATTTGGGTTGGTGTTGGTGGTTGTGTTGAATGATGACTATAATGTCAATGGAATTGAGTTGTAAATTTATTGGACAGGTTTTTGATATGCTGTCGTCATTCCCAATTTTATATTTGAATTCTTTATTATTGCTTCTTACTTTTTATTTTGTATCATATATTTATTTATATATCATTTGCATCGCTGGTCATTAAACAAACAAGCAACGCAAATAATTCGCTTTTGAATTGTCAAACAAGATTCATTTGCGTCACAATATTGTAAAAAAGCGATGCAAATAACTAGAATTTGCTTCACCATTTAACACTATTTGCGTCGCGTTTTTATTGAAAAAAGACGCAAATAAATCTCATATGCGTCACTTATTTATAAATAAGCGACGCAAATAACACTCGTTTTTTGTAAATAAGCAACACAAATAATTATCATTTGCGTCGCACTTTTATAAAAGTTCGACGCAAATAAGAGTTATTTGCGTCGCACCAATGAGCGACGCAAATGACTTTTAAGTCATTTGCGTCGCGAACACTTGCTTCGCACCTAGAACCGACGCAAATACACTCTAAAAGTGCGACGCAAATGAGCATTTCTCTAATTAGGGTGGGTTCAATCTCTTTTAGGTTGGATTCGTACCATCATCCCCGAACATCCTGTCATGGTTCCGGGCCAGTATGGAGTTAGTGATCTCCGTGATCGTGAATGGGGTGTAACCTTCACACCCGTAACGATTTACAAGTTCCTAAAACTTGTTGGCGACTCTTTTTCTCTAGATTCTTTTCCTTGGAACGCCGGCATGCCTAAAAGCATGAACCACATGTAGGACGAGGGTTGAAAAATTCCCTACAATGTACAACATAAATATAAAATATGAAACATCTAATAAAAGTTAATTTAACAAGATAAATTAATTTAGAAATACGATAATAATCTATTATTCAAATAATTAGATACTTATATTTTGGCGCCAAAATTTAAAATTTATTTGGCCTCCCAATTCAAATAATTGAATAAATTATTAAAATAATTAAGAAAGTATTTTCCAAAAATTCAGGGTATTACATATCCTTTACGTGTTTGTTTAATTCCACGGAAAATGGCCACTAAGGAGCTCACTACATACAATTTAACCCCCTCTTGTAGTAGTTCCTTTAAGTAGTTCATCTAAAATATCAGGGTCAGATAATTGGAGCTAGATAGTTTTGGGTTGGCTTTAACTTAGGTCAAGTAAAGTCAAGATCGATTGTAGATCACAACCTATTAGATTATACAATAAGTCTTGTATAATACAAACTTACGTTAACTTTATTGTAAGACAGTCAATTTAAGGGTAACTTTAACAATTTTTATGGTAACCTTAATCCCTTTAAGGGTAATTGTTAATATGTAATGAGTTTGTTTGTATTTTAATGTGTAGTTTCCAATGAATACATGCTATTAAGGCTAAATGATTAATCTAATACATTATAAGTGTTTTTTAACGGTTAAATTTATGTTAGGAATATGATAACTTTTGAAATATATATGGTAACTTTGAATACTTTTAGGGTTACTTAATTTGACTTATCTTACAAGATAAAAGTCCGTCTTAATCAAGAATTTTTGTAGATTACAAATATGTATGGTATAGACCAGTTTTGCATATTTTCACAGGTCATGTCAGATTCTTACAACTCTATAGGATACTTCCCCTATTTTTCTTTTCTTACAACAATTTGACTTTTACACTATTCACATACTTCACTTTAACTAGTTTTGATAATTTATATAGTTAAGGAAAAAAATAGTCATATTTTCCTGGTATAGACTAGTTTTGCATATTTTCACAGGTCATGTCAGAATCTTACAACTCTATAGGATACTTCCCCTATTTTTCTTTTCTGGCAACAATTTGACTTTTACACTATTCACATACTTCACTTTAACTAGTTTTGATAATTTATATAGTTAAAGAAAAATATAGTCGTGTGAGATCTTGTTATTTTCATCTCGATTAATTTTACTTTTATAATATCATGTTTTTATAATTTTACGTATTGGTAATAAATCATGTTTTCTATTTATATAATGTATTGGTAAGGGTGAAAAGAGAAGTGTTTCAAGTAAATAAAAATAAAGGAAATATATAACAATGAGAAAAAAATAAATATAAAATACTGAGTACTTAATTTAAAGGGTGTTTATTGTTGGAGCTACTTCGAGGCCTCAAGGGCGGAAATGGGAATTTTAATCCAAAGGATTGAAATCCCATGTTTGATAATTGGAGATTGGGATTAGAGGTTAAAAATTGACATTGGAATATTTGTCTTCTAATCCCAAAGAATTAACAACAAGGGAGGTTGGTACCAACGAGATTATAATAATTATTAAACTAAATTAAAACAAATAAAATGACCCTTATTCTCAACGAGACCAAAGAAGACATTGGCTAATGACTATATATTTATATAATTTTCAATCTTTCATCTCGCGCTCTAATTCTCAAACGCTCATTTTAACATAGCAAACGTATAGTTTCGCAAATAACTACACTAAAGTCACAATCTACCTTGGCTCAAGCTTCTACATTTCAAAATCATACATTAAAAAAAAAAAAAAACCAATCTTAAAATTAACAAAAAAGTCCACACAAATGTATTAAACTAGTAATTCATCAAGTTGTCCCTATACCAATCTTCCCATCCATCCATGAAAACCTCGGCTACGAAATCTTCAGCTCTTCTCTCGAAATCGAAATCGTATTCAACCACTGTATCCTCCTTCCATCCTATCTCACCATAGCTCCCATCGTTGTCGTCGTTATCATCGTAGACAAAACCATGATCGTTATCGTTGTCATTAACGTAACTGTCATCATATCTCCAGGAAAAACTGCCGTAGCTATCTTCATCATAAGACCTTATGTTTGTAATGAAGGCTTCATTATTACCACCATCACCATTATAATTAACACCGTCACCATCACCATCGTCGTGAAGACAGCAAGCTATGCCGTGGATATTGTATTTCTTGAGTAAAGTAACAAGAATAAAGTTGAATAACAAGTGAATATAGAAGATATTATCGGAAAAGAGTTGAACAATTGTTTGTATGAAGGGAGCTACAATGAAGAATGTGGTAGATAATAGGACATGGAAATTTGAGCGTGATACTCTTATAATGATGTACATTTTTATGTTGTGGATCAAAAATAAATAAAAGTACGAATTTATGTTTGATAATCGCGATTTGAGATTCGTGATTTTTTTTTTTTTTTTTTTTTTTTTCTTTCTTTCTTTCTTTCTTTTCTGGGTACAAAGCAAATATCTTAATGCTTAATATAAGGGGTTTTGCTGTCAGAAGAGGTTTAGACAAGTTGCATATACGAGAACAGATAAGAAGGAAGAAAATGAGTAAGATCTTCAGTTTGGAAAATTCTAGAAGTTGCTAAATGTCGGCCAGTAAAATGTCTTATAAGTACCACGTGTATATCATTTTTAAGTGCCACGTGTATATCATTTGTGTCAAAACAAAATTGTTGACTCGATGAAGTTTGACAAATAATTAATTTGGTAATTTGGGGGAATTACCTCAATTGAATCTCCAGGTTATTGAGGAATGTTAATCCTTCAAATTACAATTTGCTTCAAGATTATGTTTAATCTATAAATAAACTTAATAAAAACACAATCCATTTACTGTGCTTATCTACAGTACCGGGGCTTAGGAACAGTGATAAGTGGCGCTATTACTTGGCTGCTCTTAACTTTAATGCTTTGCCATATTTACCCTATGCATGTGAAAATCTTAGACCTGATCCCCGGCCCGATTTTGGGCAGAAATTTTTGACCCGAGATTGGGTTGGGCCCGACCCAGTCCGGGTTTTGTTGAGTAGGTTAGGGAATGCGTTTTATGCATATTAAGTTGATTTTTTAGGCCAAATCCGAAACTAGCCCCAAAAGCCCGTACAGTCCGATCATTTTGAACGGGTTTGAGTACAAAAATTCCGGCCTGAAACTTAACCTGTCCGAGAAGTGGGAAAAATTTTTTAGCTTCGGCCCGGGCTGGGCCGACGCACCGTTTGATCAGGTCTAGAAAACCTGTCCGGCCTTCTCTTCTAGTTTGATTACTTACAAGTTCTCACTCTCTCTCCTCTGCTCTTCCTCATTTTCGGGGGGTTTTGTTTGCTATAAAGTGTCTGCTAGTGCTCCTTTGTGTACTTTCTTTTTCCTCCATTGATCTGAACTCTCCCTTGCAGCGTGCTCTGAGCTTAATCTCCTCCATTAAAGCAGCTTCTTGAGGTATGATTTATATCCCTTTTATAATCATCTAATATCAATTTGACTTGTTACCGTAGCTTAGGGTTTTTTCCCCCAAATTGGTACTTTGAGCTTTATCTCCCAATTTTAAACCCCCCTTTATCAATTACATTTTCAAAGTTGATAAACCATATTGGTTGGTACTCTATGGATTCGCACCATAGTACCCTATTGTAGATTGCGCCTTTGGAAGCTGGTAAGTGTTGTACAATGTCCCAACTCCCAACACATGCTACTT